GCGCCGGCTTCTGCGCGCGCCCCGTGCGCGGCTGCGCCTGAACTTCGCCGCGGGGGCGGCGGGGGCCAATGCGCAGCAGGAGCGGCGTTGCCAGACTGGTCGGCCACGCAACTGGGACACGCGAAGCCCCCGTGGACGCAGGCGTTTGCGCGCTGGCCCGACCCAGCGGCTCGAGCCCGGCGCGAGCGGACTCGATTGAACAAGCCACCCAGTGACGCTGTTTGAAGCAAGCCGCCAGCTGGGCCAAGCGCCACTTCCAGCCACTGCCCCGAAGAGGAACGCCTAGCGGGTGCTCCAATTCCTTGGCTGTCTGGGACGTCGCTCAACTGCCCCCTCCGGGTCGACTGGTGGATGACCTTCTCGAGCGTGCAAACCCCTATCTCATCGAGGCCCGCCCTGGCTCCTCTCGCGCGCCGCGCGCCCCTTTCCGTTCCCCCCCAAGTCTTTCGATCGCCGCAAGCATGCCCCAACTGGTCCACGCGCCGATCAATGACTCTTCGTTCAATGCGCGCTTGGCGGCTGGCGCCATCGCCCCAGGCCTGCCCCGTCCGCCCAACTTGGCCCCGCGCCAGCAAGCCGACGGGCGCTCGTCGGCCGCGCGGGCGGGGCCCGACCACGGGCAGTGCGACAAGAGACTTCAGTGGCCTGCGCCTCCCGCGAGCCCCCCCACGCCGCGCGCGCCCTGCAACGGTCCTGACCTGTCTCGGCTGCGCGGCCGACATCCCCTGCACTTCGACGGACGTCCTCATTGTTCCAAACATAGAAACCTCGCCGTTGCTAGACCGACTGCGAATATGCGCGATGCCTGGACTCGAGACGCCGCGCCCCTTCACTGCCCCCGCCACGTCCTCGTTGCCGCGCGACCCGCCCCAGCTTGAACTGGGGGTCAGCGCAATAACTGGGCATTGCAGAATCCCAGCACAACTGCTTTTTCGCGCCGATCACTGCCGCGGCCGTTTCATGCCCCAGACCAGTGCGCTGCTCACTGCCGCTGCCCCGGCGCGGGCGGGCCACGCGACGTGCGACTGGTCGCGGGCCCCGAAGGGCAGCGAAGCGCCGCGCTCGAAGCGGGCGCGGGCCCCGCAGCAACCCCAGCGTTGACCGCAGTGCGTCGGGAAACCATCGCGCCGAGCCGTCGCGAACGTCTCCCTGCGTGAGATTTTACGCGCAGGGCCGGCCTCGTCTCGCTAACCTTACGCGTCAGACACCTCCCAAGAAGCTGCCCCGCGCCGCCTCCTCGAATGCCTTCATCAAGACCAGCGCGACTGCCCCCGGGCATTCCTTGGGCGCTCTTCCTGCGTCTGCTAACAAAGGCTGACTCCACGCTGCGCGCCCCGCACTCCGACAATGAATGGCGCCGCGCCCGGGCCTCTGCCGCGGCTACCCCGCGACCCCCTGAGCCGCGCCCGTCGCTTATCCGAACGCCGCGCGACACCCGTCGGCAAGCAAGGCGATGCTTCGCGGGCCCGCGCCATCGACCCCGGTCGCTGTAGCGCGCCGGAAACTAAGATGCACCTGTCTGATCGGACCTGGCCCTGCCGGCCCAGGCCCAGGCCCAGGCCCAGGCCCAATCCATCCCCGGGATTCGCCACCCAGCATCGAGGTAAGTTTCATTCGCGCCGTTTTCCCAGCCTTCCCCGGTCAGTCACGTCGGCGTCGAGCTTGGAAGCGCGAGAGGCGTCGCCACGGAGTGGGCCGCCATCTGCCAGCGGCCACGCCGCGGGCGGCCTCCTAGACCTGCGCGCCGCGCCGTCAGAAACGGGGCCCGCGCTGCGATGCCGCCTGGCCTGGGCGGCTTCATTCGCTGCGAGCTAACCCGCGTCGCGCACTCCACCCGCAGTCAAACCTGCACAGCCAGATGTTCAAATTTGGCCCCGTCGACATTCTCCTTGCCAGCGATGGCAATTGTGCTGCGCCTGCTAACGACATCCCGGGCCGCGCCCGCCCGCTGCCGCCGGCTCGCGCGCGTCGAGTCGAGAATCGCAAGTGATGTTGCCCCGCAGACTCCAGACCTGAGAGCGAAGACACCCCCGTGCTCCGCGCCCGGGAAACTTGCGCACCGCGTCCACCAGCTCTTACTGTTTGCCTTCGCACGCTGGCAGCCTGCGGCGCATTCCCCGGGAGCTGCTGGCACATAGGCAGCGCTTCCCAGGAAGTGCGCGCGAGTCCAGGCACGAGCCAGGAAGCAAGGGAACACTGGCTAGGAGCTGCCTGAACGATGTCCGAGAGCGCAGGAAGCGTCGCTGCTGCCTGACAGCTTCCTAGGATCTGCGCGCGCGCCACCGAAGCGCTGCGCAGGGGCTGCGCAGACGTCTCGGGCCCACGCATTAGAAACGAATAGGAGAGCGCTTGCGGGACGCGCTGCGCCCTCCAGCAGCCTCGCGCGGTGGTGCCTGAAAAGCAGCCGTTGACAGGATGCCAGCGTGGACCAGCATGCAGGCGTCAGATCTGAAACCCGTCTGCTCTCTCGAGGAGTTACCTGGGAAATGCTGCTTATCCTCAGGCAAGCACTTGGCGGCGAGTTCTGTTTCCGCCGCTTCTCGACAGGGCCCACTTCTCGAGGCACTTTTGCGGGTCTTCTCCACCCGTTGCAGCGTTGCACTCATCGTATACGTGTCCAAAAAGAGGTGGCTGCAGTTCAGCTTCCATGGGGCACTCCTTCGGAACCCCTTCGGGGGTCTTGAACTGCCGCTCTAGACCGCCCCCGAGTCCTGCCTTACCTAAACCATGACATGCGAGGGCGCCACCTGGCTAATACCCTCCTATATGCGAGCCCTCTGTTTTTTCTTCTTAACAAAAAACAAAGGAAATAATACTAAAAAGCTCTGACCTGCCTGATTGTCACGAAGCAGTTAAGGCCACGCGGTCAAGCCCACGCCTCCCTACCCCCCCTTTGGGGCACGCCCACCCTGCTGTCACTGCCATTGCGGCAGGAATATATGCCAGGATGGCCGACGTCGCCAGGCCGATTTGCTACGTAGGTATACCAAGCCCTTTCCAAGGTGAAGGGTCGCCCTATCTTGTCGAAATGCTCCATGCACTGCATGCAGATCCTCTTGTTAACGTCCTCCACGTCCGTCATCTTGTCCGTGCGGTCAGGCTGAAGAAGAAAAGCGTACAGAGAAAAAACGAAAGACCGCACAATCGACCCGATGACCTGTCCATTTTGGCGTAGGCGGTGGACCCCCCCCCCCCGCACGGCGGCGCAGCTGATGCTATGTCTCGGCGCGCAAGCACGCCGACTCCCGAGCTCGTTGTCGTTTTGTCTTTCCTCGTTTCGCTGACGGGATTCGAAGTGGCATCCTCGATGCTGCATCCCCAGGGCCATATCGGAAATAGCTGGTTGAACTCTATCGTGCCCATGGACCAGTAAGGCGCCAACCTCTGGTTGTATGCAAAGATATTCAGCAACCACCGTCGCCAACTTACTAGCAACTCGTGAGCCGAGATGGTGTTCATGCTCGTTGTGACGATCCTCCATAAACGGATCTCTTGTGCACCTCCACATCCTGCCTTAGGCCGATCAGGATGTCGCCTGGGCCCGCCGGTGCCGGTGGGCCCTGCTGTTGTGGGTGCCGCCCCCGCCCCCCACACTTGCGGGTCAGCTACCACTTATACGGCGGCTAGCTGAAAACTGGGGGCGCGCCCCACCTGTTCGTAGCCCGCTCTTGCGCCGTAGTGGTCGCGTCGGAACGCTGTTTCCACTCCACCTTGATTTTGGTGACCTCGGCGTCGTCGGTGACTCCGTCAAGCTTGAGCCCCCGCTGCGCGCAGAGCTGCTCGAAGTCGTCCTCCTTAGGAACTGGGTGGCGTTGCCTCCCAGGCCGTTGAGGTGCTGCTGCCACCCGTACGTCACATGCACATTCTGGAGCATGAGCAGGAAGAGCAACAACGGCTGGCTTGTCCTTTTGCTTCCTGGTCAGCCAGCTGCTTCGTGGAAGCCCCGGGTGCCTGCTCCAGCACCTGCAAGGGCGCCGGCAACACCTCATGTAGCTTTTCTCTCCCATGTTGTTTTTGTTCGTATGTTGGCGGCATTGCGGCACATGTTGACAGCTAGGTGGGCATGTACTTTGCTAGCTACTTGCCGAAGGACGACGGCACTGTCGTTGCTTCGGCTTCCGGCTGCCGATCCCGATGACTCCAAACGAGGAGTTCAGGATCAGCTGCTTGGGCCTGGGCGTGGTCTGCCTCGCATGGCACCTAGCGAGCCTCAGCTTTCTCAATTCTCTTGTTCGTGTCGTCGCCGTCGCCAGCCGTCGCCGCCGTCCGTCGCCGCTGCTTCGGGGCCTGGTGTCGGTCGCCGCGCTTATTGTCGCCTTCGCCGCCCGTCGCCGCCGCCCGCCGCTGCGCCTGGGTACCGGCCGCCGCGCTTGTTGTCGCCGTCGTCGCCCGTCGCAACCTCGTCGCCGCCCGTACCCAGCACGTCGCCGTTGCCCCGTTGCACCCCGCCCCCTGTTGCAACCGATGTCGTCGCAATTGACCGCAGGCAGTTGCAGCAGATTGCACCACGTGAACTGCACCACGCAGCTTGCACCATATCAGGTACAACTTTCCAGCTTGCCCACCATATATTACACCACGCAGATTACACCACGCAGCACAACACAGCCTACACCACTCAGCTCACACCACGTAGCTTGCACCGCATGGATAGCACTACATCGAATGCGCCATATAGCTTGCACCACACATATCGTGCATTGCATACTTTGCAACACCTAGATGGCGCACCACATAGAGTGCACTACATAGCTTACGCCACATGTATTGCTTCATATAGGTTGCACCACACAGCTCAAACCACATGTTTTGAACCACATCGATTGCATCGTATAGCTTGCACCTCCTAGTATGCTAGGACACACGGTTTGGGGACCATGCTGTCTGACACACACAGACACACAAACACACACGCGCATATGCGTGTAGAACTAACGAGAGAGAGAGAGAGAGACCTTCTGGACGTGGTGCTCGCAAAGCGACATGGATATGGCATGTCCTTACTCGCTCTCCTTACTCACTTTACTCGCTTCAGCAGGAATTGATGCGGTTGAAACAGGCTGACCAACCACAACCGTGCCAGGCACATGACCGACTGTTCCTGATGCTGTCGGTCCTTGCCCCGCGCGTTTTGGTTTGCACTCTGAGCAACAGCAGTCCAACATGATACACAGTTTGACGACAGCGCAGACGGCAGTTGCGATCTCCATGCTGTAATACGCGGCTCCCAAAAGCCAGAGGTGAGAGGCGAAAAGGACAACGAACAACACATCACACCCTCCGAGTCCAAGTAAAACGTACCACGGCGTGTCAAGGTGTGGGAAGCAAGTGCAGGGGCAGCATGCGGGGACGTCCTGCAGCTCGCTCAGCCACACGATGGGCATGCACAGCCTTGACACCATCATCACGAAGCCGGGCAAGTAAATACATAATGCCACAGACAGCAGCGACACCACCCGCAGGCCCGTCTGCTCACCAGTGCCGTCCCACTCAAAGATGACGATCAGGCTGATGACCAGACCCAACGATATGGCACTCGCGTACCACGCCTGAGCCGCCGAAGAAGTCGCTAGCCAAAGGCAGGCAGAGACGCCGCTGCCAGGCATGCCGACGGCTCCACCCGCGAGCGCCCCGCAGGTGCGCGCTCAGTGGGGGCCCGATCACAAGAGACCTTCCACAAGAAGCCCAACCCTGGGACGTCCATCGGTTTCTGGTGTGGGAGCGTCACGCCTTCCATGGCAGAACCATCAAAACCCCAGACACCCAGGGCACCCTGGAGGCAAGCAGGGCGTCTCCTGGCATGGGCCCCCACTGCATGCGGCCGGGCGTGCCGGGGGCCTGGGCCACAGCGGCTCGAGCCCCAACGTGGCTGCGCAAGGCGTGGGAGGGGCTCAGAGAATACGCCAAGTCGATCGGCTCAGGGAGCTCGGTGCGCAAACGCCCCAGCTTCCTATCCCGTGGGATGCTGGAGCGTGTGTGCACCGAGGTCCTTCGCCGAGTTCGCCGGCTCCTCTGTTAGCCAGGTGTGTTGTGTGTGTATCGGCCCCCCCCGAGGGAAGAGGGAGGCAGTATGGGGGGAGGCGATGCGGCAGGGAAGGACCTCGGCCCCCAGCCCACTGAGAGCACATGTTTTGCAGAAGGTTTAGGTCGGGCATGTCCCACAAGAGGCGGGATTTTGGGCGAACAGTTCGAATACCCAAACAAATACCCCAAATAATTTGTTTATAGAAAAATGTCCTGGCGAAGGACCCAACCATATGCAGTTGTGAATACCGCAATTGTGAATATCTTCTTCGGTGGCGATCCCCCTGGGGCCACGAACCGTGCGAGGGGTGTGCCGACATGTGTGGCGGGGTACACTACACGAACGGAGAGAATAGGCCTGAACACGGGGGACTGAGCGCGAGTGAGGCTGAGCGCGAGCGCGTCTAATTGTGATTTAGTCTGCGTGCGAGTAAGTCTACGTGCATGAATGCGACATGGATGCGCCTAGTGTTACTGCATATGACTGTGAATTCTAGGCGTGGCGGGGGCCTAACGGGCCACGAAGCGTGTGAGGGGCGTACTGGGTGTGGCGGACGCATGCGGGCACCCCCACTGAGGCCGCAGGTGGAACTCGCTATGGGGCCACGAAGCGCTGTACTGAGTCTGGCGGACGCATGCGGACAACCCCAGTGGGGCCTTCGGTGGAGCTCTCTATAAGGCCACGGAACGCTGTGCTGGGCGTGGCGGGTGCATGAGGCCACCCCCATTGGGGTCTTAGGTGGAGCTCCCCATGGGGCCACGAATCGCTGTACAGGGTGTGGCGGACGCATGTGGCCACCCCCACTGGGGCCGCAGGTGGAGCTCCCTATGGGGCCACGAATCGCTGTACAGGATGTGGAGGACGCATGTGGCCACCCCAACTGGGTTTCAGGTCGAACTCCCCATCGGGCCACTGGCCACCCCCACTGGGGCCGCAGGTGGAGCTCCCGGTGGGGCCACGAAACGCTGTACTGGGTGTGGCGGATGCATGTGGCCACCCCCTCTGAGGCCTTGGGTGGAGCTCCCTATGGAAACGCTGTACTGGGTTTGGCGGATGCGTGTGGCCACCCTCACTGGGGCAGCAGGTGGAGCTCTCTATGGGGCCACGAAACGCTGTACTGGGTGTGGCAGATGCATGTTGCCACCCCCACTGGGGCCTTGGGTGGAGCTCCCTATGGGGCCACGAAAACGCTGTACTTGGTGTGGCGGACGCATGTGGCCACCCCCACTGGGGCCGCAAGTCAAGCTCCCTATGGGGCCACGAAGCGCTGCACTGGGTCCGTGAAACGCAGGGAGGAGGGAGGAGGAGGGAGGGGGGGAGGGAGAAGGGCAGCGGGAGGAAGAAGATGCGGGGCGATGTCTCTTCAAAACGACTTTTGACTATCTTGTATTGTTTTTGACTATTCCTCCTGTCGAGGGGACAGGCCCGACTTCACAGAAGGCACGCGCTGCTGCCTTCAGTGGCGCGCTCTGCCCCGCGAAGCTCTGCCTGCCACTCCGCCCAGGGCTCCTCTGGGCCCGCGGGCGGACGGCCACTGGAGCCCAAAGCGTCACGAAGGACCGCGCAGCGAGCGGGCTGCACGCCCGGGAAACCGCCCCCAAGAGGGGAGAGGGATTTACCCATGTCCAAAATGCGGCCAAAAATTCGCCGGCCCAACGGGCCAGAGGCGTGGGAAAATCTCCGGTAACATCTATACAATATTGCTACTTCGCGAGCGCGGGGCGGCCCCTGGGGGCCCCCGGACCAAAAGTACCCCGGGCGCGGCCCAGGCGCTGCCCGGGAGACTCCCCCAGGGCTCTCAGGATCGCCCCAAGAGGACCTCAAGAGGCACCCAACACGGTCCAAGAGAGGCCCGAGACGCCCGAAGATCGCTCCACGACGCCCAAGCTGGCATCCAGACGGCCCAAGAGGCCTCCAAAACGGCCCTAGAGGCCGCCAAGATGCCCCAAGAGGCCTCCAGGAGCACTCCCAAGAGAACCCACAGAAGCAAAATTCTCTGCTTTACCTTAGGTTTTAGACAGATTTGGGCGTTCCCACCTTTCCGGCTTCCCGACGCCCCTAGACGGCTCAAGAGGCCCCCAAGATCGCCTCAAGAGGGCCCAAGAGGCCCCCAACAGGGCCCCAAGACGGCCAACGACGGCCCAAGACGGCTCCAAGACGGCCCAAGAAGCCCCCGAGACGGCCCAAGAGGGCCCCAAGAATGCCTCAAGAGGGACCCCAGAAAGGGAACACGAAACAAAATCTCGAACTCTTGGCCCTCAGAGGCCCCCAGGAAGCCCCAAGAGGCCCCCAAGAGGCCCCAAGAGGCCCCCAAGACGCCCCCGAGACGCCTTCAGGAAGTCCCCAAGAGGAGCCCCCAAGCGCCCTCAGGAGGCACCCCAAATGCCCCCCGAGCACTCAACCAGCCAGCGATCCTCCTCCTCCTCCTCCTCCTCCTCCTCCTCCTCCGTCTCCTTCTCGTCCTCCCTCCTCCATCCTCCCTCCTTCCTCCTCCCTCCTCCTTCCTCCTCCCACCTCATTCCTCATCCTCCTTCCTCCCTCCCACTCCTTCCTCTCCTCCTCCTCCTCCTCCTCCTCCTCCTCCTCCTCCTCCTCCTCCTCCTCCTCCTCTCCTCATCATCATCATCATCATCATCATCATCATCCTCATCATCATCATCATCCATCATCATCTCCTCCTCTCTTCCTCCTCCTCCTCCTCGTCCTCCCTCCTCCCTCCTCCATCCTCCCTCCTTTCTCCTCCCTCCTCCTCCTCCCACCTCCTTCTTCCTCCTCCTCCTCCTCCTCCTCCTGCAAAACAGCCCCCAAGAGACCTCAAGAGGCTTCAACACTGCCTCCAAGAGACTCCCGAAACGCCTGCCAAGAAAAACCCACCAACGCCGCATTGACAACGATCCCTCGGGCAAACAGCAGAGATGAGGCTACACGGGCCGGCGGAATGAGCGAAGCGAATAAGTAATAGAAACATCGTCCCCGTACTATTTTTAAACTATGTTTGAATATTCCACCTGTAGCGGGACAGGCCCGACTTGAATCTATCCATATCCACCGCCTGGGAACCGACGTCCTTGTGCCCCAGCGGGCGGCGGATATGGATATATTTTGGCCCCTGGGGAGCCGAATATAACCATACCCACCGCCTGTGGAGGTCCGCGAAGATCGATCCCATAGGCGGTGGTTATGGATAAGTCCCCGCCTCGGATGGGAACTGAGGTGAAGGACGGTGCAGGGATCGCGCTAAGCGGACGGGAGGAAGGGAGGACGGGGAGGACGGGGAGGGCGGGGGGACCGGGGAGGAGGAGCGGAGGCCAGTGGATCGCGCCCTCCTGCTCGGAGCACGAGGTCTGCAGTCTGGTGTGCTCTCGTCACCATCGGGCGCATGTGATGGGCCTGTTTTCCACCACCACCACCACCATAAGTTGGAGGGGGAGAGGGTCCTCCTCCTCCTCCTCCTCCTCCTCCTCCTTCCCCCTCTCCAACTTATGGTGGTGGTGGTGGTGGAACAGGCCCATCAACATGTGATCGAGTGACGTGCTTGCTCGCACGAGTCGGGTGTCCGTTGCTCCTGCTCGGGTGCGCACAGTCAATATGCGCGGGCGCAGGGCGGCCTGTGACGCCGGCGGCGCTCGGAGGAGCGCGAGCGGGGGCCACGCGTGAGCCCTCGGCCCCTGCGGAGGCCCCCTGTCTTCCCGGAGCATCGTCGCGCGAGCGCCCCGAACAACCGTTGCGGCTCTTATCCGGGAGACGGTGGTGCCAAATTTGAGTCCGCGGGTGAGACTGCTGCCGGCTCGTGGGGCCCCAAAATAAGCAGTAGAACCTTGCTGCGGGCGGAACATTCAAAGAACAGTAGCCCTATGCCTGGCGCACAATGTTTGGAGCCCTGTTCGTGAAACCCGAAGTGTGTCTGGACCCTTGCGCGCGTGGTGCAATGTATGTAGAATATTGTGCGTGTGGAGCCCTGTACATGTGACGACTCTTCCTCCTGTGCATTTGGGAAACCTATGAATGTGTGTGCAGCCCTACGCGTGCGGAGCGCAACGTGTGGAGCCCTGTGTGTGGGCATGCCTCTTGGACCGTATGTGCGGAACCCTCTGCATGCGTGTGAAGATACCCCGCGGGAGGAAACCTATGTGTGGCACCTTGTGTGTGTGTGTGGAATCCAGTGTGGAGCCCTATGTGTGATGCATCCTGTGTGAATCTTACATATCGAGCTCTACGCCTGGTTTCCCATTGTGTGGAGCCCTGGTCGTGTGACCCTTCGCGTATGGAACCCGACCGTCGTGGAAGGCTCTCCTCTCCGCCGGGGCCTCCGCGGACCGACGATGGCCTCTGCTGCCGCCAGCGCAGCCTGACGAGGAAACGCTGCATTCCCGCTTCGCTTCATGATGCAGGTGCTCCCGAATCCCTCCAACAACGAATATGTAGTGGATAGGTGTCGCCCATCGCCGGGACCGTCAACAGGAGCGGCCTCGAGGGCGTGGAGGATGCTGGAGTCCTGACGGCACCATGGGGGGGAGGGAAAGAGAAATGGGGAAAGAGAAGCAGGGATGCGAAGAGAGTTTGTTGTTGTTTTGTCGGGGGGGCTCCACCGAGCCCTGGGAGGTGTCCTCGACTAGGCGACCTGGCAAGACATGTCAAGACATCGATCTGTAACACACACAAAAGTACATACGTGCGTATACTTGCACATGTGTCATTATATAGATATGGTAGGGGCGTTTCCCAAGATCTGTGTTTGCATCTTGGCGCAACGCTGGTCTGAATCGAACCCCCTCGTTCTCTTTGAGCACAAGAAAGATCAATGTTGAAACCCGTTGAAACGAATCGATATGTGAACTCACCATAAGAAGGAACACATATACACATATATATTTATATATATATGAAATTCCTCCACAGAAGGAGTCAACCGGTGAATCCGATGCAAGTGGATTTCTTATACGTGCGGCTTCAAACAAAATCCAGAAACAGTAGACAAATGTATGTTTTTTCTGGTGTGTTCTACACAGGGTGGTTCTGGCTGTGACAAGTTTCAGGGTAACCCAATCTCTTCCTGTCCGACTCAGATGCCTTGTAACACAAATAGTTTCATTGCTTTGTGCTGAGAACATATGCAACAAAAATGATCGACATTGGTGTTCCTGGTGCCTGCACATCTAAAGACAAGGCCAGGAGCATGTTCAAACCAATATACTAAATACAAACTCGTGGAAAGTCTTAGTGAACATCAGATATTTGGCCTGCGCCTGCAAATTCAAAACCAAGGCAGTACACAAACAAAGAAACAATTAGACTTCTGAAATTCATGTCCACGGCCTCAGTGACAACATCCATAAGACTCGGGCAGCTCAGGTGTCCGACGTTTGGTTTAACACCCGCCATGTGTTTGCTATACAGGCGCGAGGAAACTCCGTAGTTCGATAGCGGAAAGCTGGTTTTCCCTGTGCCTGTATAATCAAAACCAAAGCGCGAAACCAAACACAACAAACTGTGCTGATTGCTTTCAGCTCCGGAGGCCTCAAAAACAAAAACCAGACGACTCGGACGATATTTTGTCGCTGGTCCCCCGCATTGTGTTCAAGCCGCACAGGCACAGGGAAACCCAGCCTCCATCTTTCCAAATCAGGCAGCTTTATGGGACAACATCGGTTTCTCACTGTTAACATTGTAAACGTATGGAGCAAATTGTCATCGACATTGAATTTCCCTGTGCCCGCGCAACTAAGACTGGGGAATTTTTCCATTAAAATGCTAAGGAACTTGAAAGCGTAACCGTTTGTAGCTAAGAAGCCGTTGGTTTCGATGGCGGGGAGCTGGGTGCCCCTGCGCATTGACAGTCGAACCCAAGGCGGGAGAAAACAACAAAAAACAAAAACAATAAAAAGGTCCAGGGCCGCCGCACATGGAATTCATGTGTATACCTGCCACAATTTGATTCGATGTGTACGTCCGCACTGTGTATCTCTCTCTCTCTCTCCCTCTTTCGTTCTCGCTTTCCTCATCCTTCCCTTCCTCCTCATCATCCGCATCTCCATTGCTTTTTGTCTCATCTGCGACGCCACCACCATCACCATGATGTCACTGCGACCCTGCAAGTAACGGAACCTGATTCCCAACGGGGGTCGTCCGTCCCGAGGCTCCAACAACGGAATACGCCCTTCCAGTACAATCATTACAATGAACTGCGAGGTGGTGTGTTGGCAGCTTGTTACCGAAGCGTGCGGGCATGTCATGGCCACGAAGGTGGAAGACAACCACATCAGCCTATTTGATGTTGCCGTGGAGCTGGTCGTTGCCACGTCCGCTCATAAATTCAACTCTGCTGTTTCTCTGGTGGACAACGTGATGTCCTACAACGCTTTATGTGCTGGCGCCTGGCGATCGCCCCATATGGAAAAGAACGCACACGACGTAGCGGGTTGAGGTCGCGGGAGCCCGTACCCCGTGAAACGCCCAACCACTGCACTCCCAACGCCGAAACGGGGCAAGAGGCGCATGTATGCGCGCCCTGAGAAGCTCGGCAAAAAAGAGATGCTCTGCTCTTTGGGAAAAAGCCCTTCATGTCAGGTGCGGCATGAGACATCACGTAAAACGCGACAGGCAGGATTGGGGAATGAGCTAAGGAAAATTGATGGCAGTTCCGGACCAGGCAAAACTTAACTCCTGGTGGCTTCTTGACCGATTGGGCTCAGCAATCTTGCCCGCACTGCGGACAATACAGCGTTGGGGAATTGCGGGGGCGCTCAGGAACTGGCACTTGCGTCTCAAGTGCAATGCGAACAACTGCCAGAAGTCCGTCGTCCAGCACGCGAGCCATATGGTACTCAGTTCTGGCTCGGGAGGAAGCTACAAGTCACTGGCTCCGCAAGTGAAGTTTCTACTCGGACTCGCCGCTGGACTGACCGCGGCTCAAGCCCACCTCCGATGGGAACACGATGCGTCGAACATGAGGCAGTTCGCTGCGCGGCTGGGCGCCACAAGTACAACATACGCAAAGAAATTGGACCCGAAGATTCAACCCAGCACTGGCAACAATTCCACTTGGCACGATATCGAGGCCGATGAATTTGATCTAGGCATAGGAACTGTGCCGAAAGCGGGTGGCAAACGAGCACAATGGCACCAATGGGTTGGGTCGGTGCAGAAGGGTGACCCGTGTTCACACGTGTCCTTCAGGACGTCTCCAAAGTTGGCTAAGGTGCGATCACCAGGCGCTGGGCCAACCCGGAGAGAAATCGGAATCGCACGCGGAAAAGCTTATCAGGAGACGATGCGTGTCTTTGCATGCAGACAGTACTGGTTCATGCATAGTGGGCATGGGCAGAAAAGGAACTCTCGATGGATTCATCCACGATTTCGTTGTTCACTACAAGAACAGCGTCGGGAACAAATGGGTGAAACCCAAACGAGTGCAACTGTTCCACCCGCGGGTGCCAAATGGCGATGTGGTTTGCACTAACTGAATGCGGCACTCAAATCATAAACAAGGTTTGGCGTCACGTGCCAAGTCGTACCCCATCTGTGAACGAGCGTGGCTGGGACAAGCAGTTGCGACCCTCTCAATGGCTGTTTTTTTTTAACTTGTCTAGACATGCGGAATCGGGCGGGCGTGATGTTTGCAAAACTGTCTTCAGATTCGCAAATATCGGCGAGACCTTGGTGCATGAACGCTTCTGCACGAACAACACAAACATGATTGCTCATAGTTCTAGACAGGCGGTGGGGAGGGATCGATCTGGCTAGGCTGACTGCTCTGGTTTGGCTGGTGGGCATTACTGTCTCTTTCAATCGAATGCTACCGTTCGGACAACTTGTTCTGGTCGGGGCCTTTGCTGCTTTGTCGCGCGCCTGGCGTGGCCAGAAATTAAGCACAACTGGTGTAGCTTGCATGCCGGTGGGCGGAAGGCGGAGACGCTGACGAGGATGATCCGTCCGGCTTGCAACAATGAACGCACATCTGGGCAACCGCCCCTAGCACATGTTAGCCGTGGGCCCCAAACCGTGTTTTCTAACCATATGCCTTGTGCAACATATGTGGAACAAGCTAGGTCGTGCAAAATATGTGGTGCAATTCACTTTGAATGTCTTGAAGCTGTCCTCTCCACTGCTCGTGCAAACGTCCCACCCTCCCACCCGCAACTTGGCCGCAAGACCTCTTAAGACCCTGACGGTAGGTACGATATGTCACTTGGCAACGACACCGACGCCGACCACGACAGCGACAACGACGACGACGCCGCCGCCAACACCGACTACGACGACACCGACGTCTCCAACGACTTCGACGACGACGACAACGACGACGACACCGACGACGACGACGACGCCGACGACGACGACGACGACAATGACAACGCCGACGACGACGACGACGCCGACGACGCCGACGACGACGACGCCAAAGAGGGCGACGACGACGACGAAGACGACGACGACGCCGCAAACGAAGACGACGACGACGAGGGAGGAGGGAGAACGCCGACGGCGACAACGACGACAATGACGAGGGAGGAAGGCGACGACGACGGCGAGAAAATAGGGGACCACGACGACGACGCCGACGACGGATGACGACGTCGAAGGAAGAGGAAGGACGACCACGGCGACAACGACGACGGAAACGACGACGACGCCAACGAGGACGACGACGACGACGAGGAAAGACAGAGGACGACGACGGCGACAAGACAAGACAAGAGCCCATGGAGTCCTCTAAGGTCAGTCCCACACGTGAAACTACAAAACTCTGGGTAGACAGCTACACCGCCAACTGCTGAAAGTTACGTAGCGCAGAGACAGCCACGCTCTGCTCAGTGCAGCATTGGCCCTGGCTGGGAGTCCCCCCAAGGCACGCAGCCTCGGATTGGGGTCCCAGCTCTTAGGCGCCAGGTCGTCCACCTCTAGAGGGCCTCTCCCCCGCCCCGACCTCCCCCCACTCCCGCCCCGACCTCTTCCTCTATATGGATTCTGCCGCGGAAGCAGCGCAACTGGTATGGATGGCAGATCAGCAGCGTAACCCTGCGCGACGGTGCTAGTCGCACCACTGATCATGCTTTGTGGAACCACTCCTCTCTCAAGCAAACTGGCGAGCCGTTCGCTCTGCGCAAGCGACGACGGCGACGACGACGACGACGAGGGAGGAGGGAGGACTGCGACGACGACTACGACGACGACGACGCAAGAGCGCGCGCGCACGCTTTTGTTGAAAATCCGTGTTGCAAAACCTTGTGGCTTTGTATGTTTTTTGAACACACGATTTTGATATTCTTCCGAAACCGAAGGTTTTGAAGGATCTCGGCATGCGCGCGCGACGACGCGCGCGTCTGCACTTCGTCTCATTTTTTGCAGAAAGGACTCTCGCGACGGCACGCGCGCAAGGGCGTTCGAAAGACTTCGACATGCGCGCGCGCAAAGCCCGTTTGGCAGCATGTGTTAAAAACCTT